GGCACCCAACAGCACTAGCAAGCTAGAGACAGAACATAAAAATGACACCCACCAGGACCTCCATTCCTGGATAGAATCCCAACAAGCTTTTGTCCTTGGGGAAGACCCTTTACAATCAGCAAATTAATCTCCTTCACATATGATATGCCATATCTTTTCAAACTGTGTTTTTGTGCTGAGTCATAAAATGAGTGAATCTGCATGTGAGCCTTTCAAGAGTGGACTCTCCATTCCCTACAGTCCTATGGTTCTCCTGGCTATAAGCTCCATTGGTTTTCAAAACTAGATATTTGGGGGAGAGCTTGTACCTCCAGTGCAGGTCCCAAAGGTTGGGGTGCCTGATATAGGGCAAAAAAAACCCTTGTTTCTCAAAGAGGAGTTCTGTATTTGTGGGAACCCTTCCCAATGGTGGGTTGCCATGCCAAGGATGGGATTTTGGTGATACTGCTTCTCTGCCTCTCCTAACCATCTTGATGTGGCCCTTTTATCCTTTGTTGTAGAGTAGCTGTTCAGCTAGTTCTCAGGTTCTTTTCAGAGAGAATTGTACTGTATGTAGTCTTGGATTTGCATCCATGGAAGGAGATGAGTTCAAGATCTTACTATGCTATCATCTTAAACTGCCTCATATCTTAAGGAAATAATTTGGCAATGGATACCAGGACCCCAGATTTTGTCATGGGTGGCAAGAGTATTATTTCCTGAGATGGGAAGACTAATGAGTTTACTAGGCCAGATTGCAATGGGTCAAGAACTCAATGGAAGGCGAGGGAGAAGAGACAACAAAAGTAAACTATTCCAAGACATTTCAGTGTGAATGGGAAGGAAACTGATAGGGCATTGTGTAGAGGGACATGGAAGGTAAAAAGAGGTTTTTGGTTTTATTTTTTAGTTTTATTTAAGAAGGAAAAAAACAAGTTATGATAGGTCAAGGGAAGGAGCCAGTGGAGAAGGAGACATGGAAGAGAAAGAAGGTAACCAATGGCATTGGGCTAGAGGGGGTTTAGAGCAGAGTTAATGGCCCAGGTCTTGCCTGAAAGGGGAGATATTTCATGCTTTGAGGGAAAAGAGAAGGAGGACAAGACTGTTGGGGATGTAGAGAAGTTTGTAGTTTAGAGGTGGTAGGCAACAAGTTGAGAGGTTTTCTGCCTAATGATCTCCAGTCCCCATTTTTTCAGTGAAATAAGAGGCAAATTCTTTGCTGAGATTCCGGCTTGACTGAAACAATGATTCACAACTTCCTCCCTCCCTCCCTTTTTCCTTCCCTCCATCTATCGATCCATCCATAAACACATACATCTGTACATCAATCTATTCATTTAATCACTCTTCTAAAAAATGTAGAATAGACACTTTCTATGGACTAGGCTCTGTGGTAGGCACCATGCATAGAATGAAAGAGACATAGCTCCTTACCTTAGGGAGCTTCCATTCTAGTGGATACAGACAATTAATCAGATGATTCCACTATTGGTGATAAGTGTTAGCATAAGGAAAATATGGAATACT